TGTCTCTCTTGAGACAGTTTCCCTTGAAAAAGAATCTTTGAATATGTTTTACATTAAACAAATTTTATCTCCCCTGAGACAGTTTTTCTTGAAACACCAACCTTTGAATATGTTTCTCTTGAAACAAAATTTTGCCTCCCTAGAGACAGTTTCTTTTGAAACACAAAAAACTTTTGAAATCGTTTCTCTTGAAATACAAAGAACCTTTGAAATCGTTTCTCTTAAAAAACCTTTGAAACTGTTTCTCTTAAAAGACTAAGACCTCTCGAGTGATCTCATTCAGCTTAAGTACCTATCAACCACTTGGTAAAGTCAAAGATTTATTTTTCAGTCGCGTTTTCAAACCAAGGTCTTTAAACCAAAAAGAAGACCGGATTTGACTTGGCAACGAGAAGCTACATTCTGATTCAAATTCTGAATTACGGCTTCAATTCCATTTCAAGATGGACCCGACTTCGCAACTAAGAAGCCATTCACCATCAACCTCACGACGAGGGAGTCATTTCAGGATTCAATTCAAATTGACAAATCAGTCTCATCATCGGATTTCAACTCTACAACAGTGGATGTTCGATGGGGGATTGGCCCCTATATGGATGGTGTTTTGATATATTCATGTTAGAGGAAAAGTGTGTCTTTTAATCTTTGCCCTATACCGTTACACGACTATGGGCAAAGAGGGGCATCTGTCGACACATATTTTTGTCCATATGGCATTTATATTTGCATTTTTTATAATATATGGTTTATGTGTAATACGTAATGTGTACATATCATATTATTTATAATTATAACATATTTATTCATTTTAATTACATGTGACATGTCCCATAAAAGACCATTTACAAGGCCCAGTGCAGAGTGGCCCAAGTCCAGACATTGCATGCCCATCAGCAAAACCTTCAGAACCGGTCTTCAGCCGAACCGGTCCACTTGTGTCTCTCTAGACCGGTGAACTAGGGTTTGGGAACCCTAGTTTTCCCATTCCAGCGCCATTTTTTAAGACCCTTCGGTCAGTCGCGCCTCTCTAACCCCGACTCATCCACCGGCCGTTTCGCTCACCACCAATAAACGTGCATGAGTGGAACATAAACAAAACAAGAGTTTTGTTAGGAATCAAACACTCAAAAATAGGATTTATTTTTCGTTATAAATAAGTGTGAAATCTGATTTGAAAAGGGGGGAGCACATACTTTTTACACAAGAAAACCACACACAAACACTAGCTATCACACACAATTTGTATACGAAACACTAGTAAATACAAAGAGGCAAACCGAAGCTTTTTGTACAATATTTCAAAAATAAATAAAGGTAGTGTTTTTATCGTATTTTTGTTCGTTCTTGATCCCTTGCATGCTTACTTTTTCTTCTTCTTTTTCGTTCCAAAACTCGAATGGCCGATGAACATAAGGGGGTTGTTCGAAATCTAGTTTTCTAGATCTACACCCCTACGAGCTAGTTTTGAAAAAACGTTTGGACTTTTAGGTTGTGGGTGAAAAGGGCTTTAAAAAGTATAATTTTTTTGACGGGCCACCATCGATGAGCGACGGCTGGCGTGGCGGTGACCACCGATTTTCTGGGTTCGTGCGACGGCTGTTCTTCAAGATAAAGAACAACCAAGAACAAGGGAGATAATTTAAGGGTTTTGATTTTAATCCAAATGTGGGGCGTTTTCAAAATGAAAAAATATGTGTTCATTTGGATATATATTCGACCCGTGGACCTTGGTGACCCGCGCCTGGACCCGATTCGCTTCGCTGGGTCAGCGTGTTTTCAACGTTTAGTTGGCAAATTTCCTTTCAGTCCCTCGTATTTTTTAGACATCTTTCTGGGTCCTTAAATTCGATCTTGGTCACTAATCCGTTTCTAAATTTGACCTTCTGTTTTAAATTCCTTCCAATTCGGTCCCCCATATTTTTATTTATATATCTTTTTTTCCATTTAATTTTTATTATTTTTATATTTATTATTTTGTATATTATTTTCTTAGTATTAGTATTATATTTATACATACATGTTTCCTTCCTTTTATTTATTTTGTTAGTATTAGTATTAATATTAACATATATATATTTTATCATTATTTTATCTCCTTTATATCCTTATTTTTCTTTTTATATATATATCATTTTTACTACTATTGTCCTATATTTTATTTATGCCATTTTTTTATTTTGGTTTATTTTATTTATTTATGTTTTTTATTTTTTTGGGGTCGGTTTCCTTTTATTTTGTTTATTTTTATTTATTTTATTACTAATATTTTTCTTTATCTTTCTTTACTCTTTACTCTTTTTTTCTTTTTTATTTCATCGATTTCTTATTTAATTATTTTTATTACCTCTTTTCCTCTAACGTGTCTCTTGACTTTTTGCGGATGTTTTCAAATCAATCTAATGTAAGTAATTTGGGATTGTATTTTTAACTTCTAATTTAAACTCTCAATTTTCTTAATTAAAGACAATTGGAAATTACGTAGTACCGAAAGGGTAGTTCAAAGGTGCTAACCCTTCCTTGACTGTAACCGACTCTCGAATCCGACACATATCTGGCACGATGCATATCAGGTAAGAAAAAGGTATCCGATCAACCCATTTGTTTTAAAATAAATGATCGGTGACGACTCTAACCTAATTATTTCAAGTCGAAGCCCAATTCTAGGTCCAACCGAAAGACGGTCTCGACAACTATTACACGAACATTTCAAGATTTCTAAATAATTAGTTCAATTTGTTTTCTAAATCAAACAGATAAAAAAATCATTAAATCAAATATTTTCTAACAGTTTTATACAATACTTTTTTTAATCGATTATCACCGTTGATAATATGGGAGTCGCTATCAACTTCTCCTATATTCTTCTTTCCTCTATTTCTCCTTTATCTCTTTTTCACTATTTTTTCACATACTGGTTTTCTTTTTCTTTTCATATTCTCAATCATCTGTATACATCTTAATTCACGTTGTCAAATGATTTGATCGCCTACGATCTTTATTTTATTTAGCTATTTTATAATTCTATGATTTATTTTATAGATTTTATATTTTGGTTTTCTTTGTTTATCTTGTATTTATATATATTACAATAATAATAATTTTTTTATCTTGTCTCATGGCTCCTCCATTTGATGGATGCATAGCTTTTTTCAACATGTCTATTTTCATCGGGTTTCATGGTATGCTAATAAGGCGACTATAGTTGATATATGCATACGAGAGAAAAACTAAATCATTTTGGATAAAAATAAAGTTATTTTTAAAGATTGATACATCAATTGACATAAAGGCCCATCACACAAACTTGAAAATGGATATTTTCTCTTCTCTTCCTATCGGACTCACACAATTAATTTTCTTCTACCATCATTCTCTCTTCTCTCTTCTCACTCGAATCAATCATCGACTAACTATCGTTCTTGTACCAATTGTGACTCTTTGTCCAAACTAAAAAGGTTTAGCCGCCAATAGTCAATGTGGCCCATTAATTCCCACCAACAATTATTGTTGTGAGCGTAGAACACATTTGTTCCCGTTTATTCCTACCATTTGAGGAGATTTTATATATGAAAGCATTATGCAAGCACATAAATATTGGAATATTTTCCCCGGCTACGAGTTAAACCCTCTAGGCATACCCTATCTTTTTTTTTTTGGAATTTTATTATCTTTCATTGTATTACCACAATGTAAGATACCTCCATTGTGCTTCCATAGTAGAGATATATCTCCTTTGACTAAGATTGTCAAGCTACTTCTACTCTGAGTGTTGAGATGTCTCTACTTCATTATAGATTTAAATATTGTTGCCACTAGCGGCCGACCAAAAGTGTGAGTTGCCTTCGGTCATGAGAGTCAAGATGCCTCCACTGTCCATCCACATTATTGAGTTGTTGATATATTCTCCTAAATCCTTCATAGGAGAAGTTATCTTTTATGTAAAATTTATTCTCCGTAAGATAAGTCATCATCTGCGTGAGATTTTACTCCCTGCAAGAAATGTCACACTCTACGAGAGACTCTATCCTCCGATCGAGCTCATACCTTCAAGTATGTCTTCTAAACTATTATCCTTTACTTTCACAGGCATTGAGATGATCATGCCCTTTTATTGACATAAAGATGCCTTTTTTCATTGTTTTCGCTTCTCCAAAATGCGTTGAATTACCTTCTCTCTGGTCAAGAGAGTCGAGATGCCTCTGAATACAAAGACATCTCATCCCGCTACCTGTAAAACTATTGAGTTGCTTCTGTATCTATAAAAATGTGAGTTGTCTCCAAGGTATCCTTTTTCATCCCATTCAGGAATATTATCATTTGCTTGATTATACGCGCCAAGATACCTTTGCCAACACAAAGATGATTTGGCCTATCAATCGGGTTATTCTAAAAAAGAAATGAATCGTTTCTATCTTGAGAATGAGAGCATTAAGATGCCTCTTTTATTCAACAAAATCAAAAGATGATCTTTATATTTTCCGCCATAAGTCTCAGACTATAAAGACCTCTACAGACACCACACTAGGGTGTAAACGAGCCGAGTTAAGCTCGAGTATTACTGAGCTCGACTCGAACTCGAAAACTTTAAACGTAGGCTCGACTCGACTCGAAAACTCGCGAGCTAAAAATTATGAAGCTCAGCTCGAACTCAAAATATATTATTGAAACTCGACTCGAACTCGAAAAGGCTCGAGCTCAAAAAAAATTTCAGGAGCTCGATTGAAGCTCGGGACTCGAGCTCGATTGAAGCTCGATTTTGAGCTTGAACTCGATTCAAGCTTGAACTCAAACTCGAATTTAAACCTACAAAAATCTTATATTACATTTAAAATATATAAATAATTTTCCCTTTAATCAACAATCACCAATATATTATAATATGAATGTATGAACTATAAAAAATCTAAAAAATAAAAATACAATTACAAGAAATTTAGGATAATTAATATAAGTTTTGAAGTTTTTTTTTATAATAATTATTAGTATTATTATTACTCATGTTTATTATATTAACATATGGTGCAAATCCACCAGGAGGAAGCCCGAGACAGTGCGCTACCCACGTGAACCCATCGAGGAAGATCCATGCTGGTCGACCATCCACCGAAACTAATGTTGTCGTGCCCATGCTAGCCATGCTCGAATCCATGCCCTGCAGACACATAAAAAAAGGGACAGAGCACCAAGCACAACAAGAAGACAGAGAGAAAATATCAAGGATATAGTCTCGATCATCATCAGAAAAGGGGGGAGAGGTCAGCCATAAAAAAAAACCAGAGAGGAATCAACAACAGGAGGTAGTGTTCTTCTACTCCATATGTATATCATATTGTTGAAGGATTTCTCGGGGTATTTTAATTATTGGTTCTATAACTACCTGAAGTATCAACAATAAGAAAAATAATGGATACAGTTTTGACTGCAAATAAATAATAGAACAATTTGTATATAACAAGCAGATGCCTCAATCATAAGTCCTGAGATGGAAACATGAAAAACACTACCTCTCCTACAATATTTTCCTGGTTCTGGAAGAGTGCAACCATAATTGTTTTCCCATTTTCCTTTTTTAGCGGTACCTACAAAAGAACATTGATTAAGAGTATATTTGAAGACAAAATACCAAACAAACGTGCATGAAAAAAAATCTAATATGTCATTTAGAATTCAAGAGCACAACTGTTGAACAAAGCTTGATTCAAAAAGAGAAAAACGGGAGGGAAGATAACGGGTTCAAAATCAAATGCAGCAAAAATTACACACTTTATGTAAACTTTTGCATTAACAAAAAGTGAAACAAATATGTAATGAACAATTACTTACATCTCAACTTTATCATTAACTGCCTGGAAAGTATAAAGGAAAATCATGATGCATTCTGCATTGCATCTAAAAGCAAACTTTTCCTATTGACCTAAAACGTCAGAAGCGAGATATACCAGCCTGCGGTTTCTTCCATCAGCGAATGATATGAAAATATTACACGGCGGCTTGAAAGCTCCAACTAGGTAATTCTGTAAGGAAACAAATACGTAAACAAGTTTTTCACTTAACGGTCATTGAGAAAGTAAAAAGAAAGAAAGAAGCAAGTTCCTAAGAAATTGATAATTTAATACCATGACACTTCAGTGAGCCCTGAATCAAGACTTTTGCTCAACATTAAGGACCTAGAAGTAGTAATATAAATCATTGGAAATTTGAAATCGATTTACAAAATGTTTTACAAATTTAGACAGAAAAAGAAATGGACAAAAATTAAAGTTCTAATCAGATTCAAAATTTGACCATTTTCTTACCTTCCCTAGGGAAGCCTTAGGACCGAAATCAGATCATAAAAATGAGGAAAGTGTAGGGGAAAAATACCTTAGCTAGGGATCTAAGAGAAGAGGAAGGGTTGATTGTTGAATGGAGATCATCTGAGCCTTAGTAACATTCGGCTGGTGGTGTCGTGTTCTATAGCTTTAGATCAGGGTAAATAAAAATAATGGGTTATAATAGAACCAACTGCTTGGTAGTGTATGGATTAGGATTAGATACTTACCAGTTGAGTCCCGTGGTGGTCGGAGTTAGATTTGGCCACCCGCGTGTGGTGGCCAATGTAGAAAGCTTTCGAGCTTTCTCGGTCGCCGAGAGAGATGAGGATAGTAGGGAAATAAAGTGGTTTATTTGGGTAGTTTGAAACCTAAAGGGTAGAAGTTTTCGATCTGGTTTACCCTACTGTATTAGGGTCTTCGTCGGAGAAAAAGAGGATCATCATGTTGAGAGTGGCGTCGTGTGTGCGTGAGAGGGAGAGATGGGATTGAGAGAGGCTGTTGTAAAATAAAGGGGTTGTGTGGCTGTGTTTGGTTTTTTGTGTGCGTGAGTTTAGTTTAGGTTTAGTTAAATTTAGGTTTCATATTAATTTTTTGGTAAATTAAGTTATAGTCCCCCAAACTTGAGCACCCTTTTGTAAATCCCTAATTTAATTCTTGATTTGTATATTGAATTTTACATTTATTTAAATTTAGTCATTAGTTTAATATGTATATGCATGTTTAATAAATTTATAGTTTGGTATATTATATTTAATTTTGTATTTCCGAATAGGATCAATTGCATATAAGACCCATAGTTTTATGCGCATTTTGTATTTAAGTCATTGGTTTAATTCCAATTTTGTAAGTTTAATTTTACATTACGTGAATTTAATCATCATTCTAAAGTTAGTATATTTAGCTTAAATTAGTCCTCACATTTAGGTTTCTCTTAATTTAGTCTATGTTTAGGATTGTTTTCTTTAATTAGTTGTGTATATTTATTTTGCATATTGATATGTTTATGTATAAGTATGCGAATGATTTATTTAGGAGTCACATAACATCATTTTGTATAATTTGTATGTTATCTTCATTTGCATAACTTAACCCTATCACATAATTAGATTTAGGGTTTAGGGTTTAAGGTTTATGATTTAGGGTTTTGGATTTATTACAAAGACATTAATTAATCGACTTGGTATCGATTTATGAGGTAAGTACAATTTAGGGTTTAATTTAGGGTTTAGGGTTTAAGGTTTATGATTTAGGGTTTTGGATTTATTACAAAGTCATTAATTAATCGACTTGGTATCGATTTATGAGGTAAGTACAATTTAGGGTTTATAATTTAGGGTTTAGGGTTTATAATTTAGGGTTAGGGCTTATAGTTTAGGGTTTAGGGTTCATTGCAAAGATATTAATTAAAATTTGAGGGTAGTTGTATTATAGAATTTTTAATACATTTTTAAAATTTTATAATTATCAATAGTGTATTTTTTAATAATGTATTTTAAAAAAAAAAATCCTCCGTCATAGATGTTCTCTAGAGTCCACCTCCTCAATCTTTAACGTGAACTTTGATAGAGCCAAATCCAAAAGTTGACAGTCATATGTGTGATGACCTTAAACATGACACCAGTCGTGAAAGGGTCGATATAGACACTCATCAGACAAACTTAAAAGGGATCCTCTATCTTTCGTTGCTATTAGGCACATACAATTCATCTTCTTCTATCTGCATTCTTTCTACTCACTCCAATTGACCATAAACTAACTATCGTTCTTACACCAATATCAACTCTCTAACTAAGCTACCTATACTGACGCGACCTATTTATATTCATAAAAATATTTATTTCAAATAAATTAGGATTAATCTAATATTTATTTTATTAAGTGATTTAGATGAATTAGATTTTTTTATTTTATTAGTTTCATAGTTTAGTTCAAACAATATCAACTCTCTAACTAAGCTACCTATACTGACGCGACCTATTTATATTCATAAAAATATTTATTTCAAATAAATTAGGATTAATCTAATATTTATTTTATTAAGTGATTTAGATGAATTAGGATTTATTTTTATTTTATTAGTTTCATAGTTTAGTTCAAAATATGATTTTAGGAATTTCACCTAAATTTTATGTCTTTTTTAGCCTTTTAAATAGTCACATCTCATATGTAATTCAACACATCATTTAGAAATACAAAATAATTTTCTTAAAAAGTATGTTTAAGAGCTATTATTTCTTTTCAAGATTTTATCTTGTTCTAATTTAGTAGTGCAATTATCCAAATGCATTATAATGAATTGAGCCAATTGCGTTGTGATGAACTCAGGTGTTCTTATTGATCTTCTAAATTTCTAAGATGAAATATTCATAGAGGGTTAGACATCCATTCATCTTGGCTCAAGGTTTCTATCTTGGTTAATTAGTTGTACTTTTGTGTTTTATTTGCATATTTATATTAATACAATAACATTTTGTTGTATTTCATTATGGAGCTTGATTTGTGCTTAATTAGATATATTCGCTGCTTTTAATCGCTTGTTGGGAAGGATTTGTGGTTGGTATGTGTAAGTAGGTGCAGGTTGAAGGAGAAAGAAGGAAGATTTGCCGTGGCAATGCAAGGATGACCTTCTTGGATAAATTCAAAAGAATAACATGTGCAACCTCTAGGTATAACGTCCTGGCTCATACTAGTCTACATGTGCTCACCATTCTAAGTGCCTATAGGAGACATATAGGGTCTCGAATATGGTTAACCGTAGGCCTAGTTATTGAATGAAACAAATAATCTATAAATTTATCGTCGCATTATTATTTTAAGTAATTCTATAGCAATCCGAGCCGCCTAATCCATTATTCATAACTTGTTCATCCAATTTTCCTAGTAGTTTTAGCTAGAGCGTTTTAAATTAAATCGTTCATTTAATTACATAGTTTATTCCTTCATTGTTATCGTGTTACATAAGTATTCATTTAAATTTAATGATCTGTTTATAACAATGATTTTATTGAGTGATCTATTTATAATTTTTAAATAAAATAATGTATTTATTACTAATCTTATAATTAATTTACATTAAGGGTATGTTTGTTTGAAGGAATTTAATTTCCTGAAAACATTTTCCCCCTTTTCAGGTGTTTGGATGGGGAAAAGTAACTACAGTCAAATTTTTTAATAGTTTTTCATGTTTTCTACTTATAACATTATGAGTCTGTCAACATTTCCAGTAGCGCTTTATCGAGTTTGTTAATTATCTTATTAAATTTCCAGTCACGCCGTTTCTTAGCCGTATATTAGTCCGCCTTTCTTTAGACAAACCCAAAAACTTACCGAGTATTTTTTTGGTAAGTCGTTTTCCTAAAAGCTTCTAGCCTTCTCATGGGTTCTTTGTTTTCCCCAAATCTTTTGCCCTATGTCTTCACTGCTCGCCACCGTTACCAATTCATCAACAACTTTTACCTCTCATCAGCTCTCTGTCCCTCACCGACTCTCTTTCTCTCATCAATTTTTTTTATTATCACTCTAGCGTTTTCATCAGAGGTAAGCTTCACATGTTTCTTTTTTCTTTTTTGTTTTCCGTTTAAAAATGAGTTCTTGAATTTTCTCAATCTAAATTCTTGGGATTTCTTAAAACGTAGAAGAAGACTCATGAAAGCATTAACAACATATTCACTCCTATTATGAAAAGTGAAAAATACACTTCAGGTTGCAAAATTGTTCTTAAATCTCTTAGAAGCTCCAAAGGTATTGTTTCTTTGCCTCAACATTACTGAAATATTCTATTGTTAATTTTTTTGAAACAATCCTATTGTTAATTTTGAATATTCATGGTACTAAAGTTGAATGAATTTTCTTTTGATTTTTTTGGTTGAAATAGTGTTTAACTTGGATAAGGGGTTAAGGTTTTTTTTCTTAATTATAGATTAAATGGGTTTTAAGTGATTATCTTTTCAAAAAAGAAAAAAATGGAAAAGAGATTTAGGCTTGGCAAAATCTCGTCCTTGATTGTTTTTTAAGGCTTTCATTGGTTTCTTAATTTTCAATAAAATTGAAGTTTGAATTTTTAATGGTCATTGATCATCATGAAAATATTTGTTTGAGTTTTGAGTGAATTACATATATATTAAGAAATGTTATACGAGGCATGTAACATCCCAAAAGCTGAGTTAGTGACTAAAATAAAAGTTTTTGAAAGTTAGTGATCAATTTCAAAAAAATTTAAAAGTTCAAGGATTTAATTGGAGTATCTTGGTTTGGATTTAATAGTAAAGTTTGGAAGTGGAAAGGGCATAATAGTCAATTAGCAAGGAAATGAATTTAAAATTCATTTGTGGTGTTATATATACACATGTAGTAAAGGAAAAGGAAAGAAAAATCTGGAATATCTTTCTCTTCTCCTTTTTCCTTCAGCCGTGAACCCATTTGAGAAGGTGAGTATTTTATAAGTTGGTTATTTCTTGAAATTAAGTTTGGTTTTGATTCTTGGAGTGTTAAGAAAGCTTAAGGAAAGTTTAAGGTTGCTTAAACCTCAAAGATATATAAGTTATGAAAGACTGAATATAAAGAGTTTTTAAGTGAATTGTTGAAACAGAGTTTGTAAATGAATTTAGAAGTCATATTTGACTTGTCATCAGTTAGAATAAGAGATTAAAGAGGTTAAAGAGGATGAATAACAAAGTTGAATAACTGGTAAGATTTTTAGTTTCAAGTGTTCTAATGAAATATTGTATGTTTAGATGTGTTAAAGTGATATAAGATGGTTTGAGTAAGTATAGTTGAGTTTAAAGTATTGAGAGGAGTTCAAGATATGGAGTTTATATAATTTTTGGTAAATTTTCGAGTTAAAGAAGTGTATTCTGGGCAAGGGGTATCAGTACTGGTTGAACAAGTACTGATACTTCAAGGTAAAAATATGTGAAAATTTGGTATGGGTATCGATATTGCATGAATAATATCGATACCATAGAGTAAAACGGATGAAATCTTTAAGAAGTATCGATACCTAAAGAGTGGTACCAGTACTAGTTAAAGGGGTATCAATAACGAGTGTCTACTATCGATACCATTATCAAGTTATAAAACCAGAATGTCAAAATGATATCGTTACCAAGGGGGTATCGATACCATAGAAGAGTAGTATCGGTACTATAGTGAGAGTACCGATACTATTGAGCTTGAAATGCTAAATTAAATATTTCTTTTATCTTAAGTTATATTGATTGGTTATAAGCAATTCAAACTCCGATATTCATATAAGTCATATATTCGTGTATATATCGATCGAAGACAAGTCCAAGACGATTCGAAGCTATAAGATTGTACAAGAGTCATAAGTGTTTGAATTGGCTAGTGAGGCCAGGTGAGTGCGTATGATTATAGTATATGATTATATGGAAATTAGACTTGCGATGAGTCTATTTCCATGTTTTGATTTTATGAATGCATGAATATAAGTATAGTTGGTAGCTGTTAGTATGTGAATATGTATTGTGATGTTCTTTGCTATGTGATATGATTTATGT